AGGGCTCTTAAGAGCTTTGGATATAAACCCAACACAATGTGTCGGCTATCAGCAGCCATATCTCCAGTCTGGAGGTCAGGAGAACTGTCTGTGCGAGATCAACATCGACAAGTTAATAGACTCTTTGAACATTTGTCCCTCTTGAATACAGCAGTCCCAGCTATACATCTACCATGAGACAAGTAATCATATAGTTGCCTTCATAAGTTTAAAATAACACCCTCAGAGAATCTTCCAAGTGCTTCTGATGCTACACAGAAATCAGAGCTTAAAATCCCTAAAAGCACAGAGTATTATTGGATATGGAAATGCTAATCCTAAGAAGATGTGTTTATTGCTTCCCATCGTTTTTCAACAGTCATACCAGGTCACTTCGCAGCAATGGAGTAAGTCGTGTTATAACTTAAACAGGGAGCACTACTACTCCTACGACTACTACTAATAGACGCATTAGCAATCATTCCATTCTTAGCTTCAAGAACATTTTTGAGAATTACTGTTTGGCATTATTTGTAAGACTCTTTCCTGAACACGAAGTGGAAATGCTGGAAAGCATCGCCTTGCTGAAAACCAAAGCGATTTAAAGAGTGGCAAGTACCGCAGTTCAGTCCTCCCAGAGTCTGGCTTTCATCATTCCTCTGTCATTACAGAAACAACGACCTTTTCAATCGTAGCTTTTGGAAAAACATATCTGGCCCTCTTACAACCTCCTAGGCATTCTTGCTCAGCGCTTCTCATTCTGAAGGGAAATGACAGAGCCAGTGAATTAGAAACAAGGAGACGGACTTCAGAGAGCTTCCCATGGGGGAAACGCAACTGAATGGAACCTGTAATCATTCATTTACAAAACCGTCTCAGAATGAAATGAGAGGGGAGGGCATCAAGTGAAGGCACCACTCTATCTCTACAGGAAATCTGTAGAAAAAGATCTAAAACAGCTCTACACTATCAAGGTTTTTTTTTCCCCGTCAATAGTTACAGTGCTAACAGCACTTATATAAATATAAGCACTGATTGCCTGGACTGACTTTTGTATTCGTGCACACAGAGATCAGAAGAAAGCTAGTGCTTCTTTCATCTTCAATATAGCACATAGAGATAAACCATTAATTTGCACGGATGCCTTCACGACCATCTCCAAGCCTGTAAAACCCTGAGTACATTCAGCACGCAGGCCTCTGAAGCACTCATGAATAACAAGGACTAGATCTCTGACAAACCCTTTCCATCAGCGGATGCTGCTTCAACTAACGCACAAGCAGAAGTGATTCATGCACCAGTCAAAGCTGAACATCGACTGTCCGTCTGCAGGTGACGGGGACCTGGCTCACACGGCCACGCCGTCTGGCTGGGTCGGAAACGAAGCACCTGTCTGGGCCAGACTGGGAGACACTGGCCGGCTCTTGGTCTGAGGCGCACCCATGATGGGGCAGTCTGCTGGCAGGGCTCGCTGGGCACCGGCCAGCGGGGGCAGCTGTAGTAGTCAAGCCATGTTTTTCTTCTCCTTTTTTTTTTCTGGGAATACAATATTGTTATAAGCATAACAAAACAAAAAAATCGACACGCGTGCCAAATATTCCAGGTGCACCTTTTATGGACTGTTTATGTAAAAGACTCAGCAGAACGGAATCCAGACAACCAAATTTTTAACCAGCTCTAAATACATAATTATGGCCTTCCTGGATTTCCTGCTGCATAGGCAGCAGCACAAAAACAAGAGAAATTGCCAGGCTTTTAAGACACCGCTAACAGCCACCATCTTGGCCGACGGAGGGCGCAGAAGCATTTCCCTGCTTAGACGAGCAGCAGGCCGACATCAGGGCAGGGAGACTCCGGTCCCTGTACAGAGCAGCCATGTCTCACTGGAAAGACCTCGGCGTGAGGCTCAGCCAAGCTACTGCCCACCTACAGAAACTAGAGTCAAGTGCCTAAGTACAGACAGAATACTCTGTTCTAGACGAGCTCTCTGAAGGATCTGCGCAGTTTGAACCCCATATTACAGGCTTTTTGAGCCAAGTGGTTTTCTATAAGAAGGTGCTAAGTACACAGAAAACAAGTGGATTCAAGTGTAGGTTTGAATATCTTCATTGTTAGCCCTTTTCATTGTCCTTTTCTATCCTTTAAGGAAGAATTCTGAATTCTAAAAGTAATAGACTTCCCACACATTTAGCGATTGTTTCTTAATTTACTAAAGGTTTTATTATCTCTGACCCTATGAAGAGGCAAACATTTTCTTGTAAAATAAAGTAAAATAAGAGGGAAAACATCTTTACAATGCTAAAACTATGTACAATAATTAAAGAACAGTGTAATGTCTGCTCAAGGCATTTTTTTCCTTTATTTATAAAGCTGATAGCCGCTCACATGTTCTGGAACAGTGGTCAGAGCAGAGCTGCAGTTACAAGCTCAATTAACAGGTTCCACTAAACTAAGAGCTCAAGAATGCAAAGTGCAAGCTTGAATGAAGGAAAGTCTAAAAGCCTGTTATCTCCAGCCAGCATCACAGTTCAGCATCTAACCTTTGATTTCTTACTCATTCAGTAAATCTCTTAGGTGTGTCTCTGTATCTTATTTACAGACACTTATTCCATGCAATCTTTAAAATCCTACACTAAAAGAAAGACGTGATCATCAACCCGAACATACAATCACTGCTATCCTTAAGTTTAATTTTAGCCATGAATTAAATATCAAGCTGTCTGCAACTCATTCAATTAGGTACAAGTGGCTTTTTTTTAAAGAAAATCTATACAAGGCATATTCTATATTGCCATAACCTGTTCCCAGCAGCACGAACAAGCTACAGACAATTCCTGGTCTGGGTCCTGAGCCCATCTTTTCCAGGATGGAGATTTAAAGGGAAGCTAAGTACAAACAGCAGGCCTTGGAAGCGAGCTTCGGAGGATGTGTCCTTGTGCATCAGCCGGCAGGCAGATACCCTTTATTAAAACAGACACCAGCAGAAAAGTCCTGCCCGTGCTGCAGTCAGCGCGCCACTCAATCACATACTAGTTACTGAGGCTCCCTTCTCCACTCCTGGGGAAAAAAGCCCTTCCTTGCTTCTCAATGACGTCTGGCAGGTGCAGATTGATGACTCATGAAAAATGCAGACATTCATTAACCTGCAACAACGACTTTGTAGTAAAACTCTAGAAGAACCCATGCTCTGCAGGTTAAGAAGCGAGACCTTTTCAAAAGACGAAGGTGAAAACAGATACTGATACTAAGATCGCAACACTTTGGAATTTCTGTGGATTCATGTGCAATATCTGAAAAACATTGTCCAGTAAAGGACGCACTACCTGTGCAGCTGGGCCATACACTAGTAGATTATGATTTTATTCACACTTTTACATCCCCATAATGACTTCCAATTAAGGACACTAAAGCACCTCCAATAAATACTGCACAGCAACTATATAATGAACTTGATGGGATTAAAGTTGACAGAAACAGGATGCATATTTTATAACCCAGCACATGTATTCATAACTGCTGCTAGAACCAGCTCACGCTTGCCTCTCAAATCTGTTTTTAAAAGATCCATCTCTAAAACATCACGAACTGCACCGCTTGAGTTGCCTCTATAATCCAAATCTTACTTAATTTGTTCGATATGACGCAACTGGCTGAAAACTTTGCTCATACTGATGATCCACACAAGATATGCATGAATCATACATCTGATAGCCTACAAACTCATCACAAATGAATCTACCTTGGGCTTCTGGGTACTTCAGCCCTTTATACAGCAATAGCACATAGTACAAAACATGTTCTCAACTTTAGTAGTGGGAGTTTCTACATTTTCTGAAGAAAAACATCCTGACATAAAGATGTTGATAGATTATTATGGGAATTTATTCAGAATGAGCTATTAAAATCTATTACAGTATTCAGAGATGTATAATTACAGAAACCGGTAAGAAAACTTTTCACAAGCAATTCACACCAGTGCAACACATCTAAAACAAGCTGACCTTTCTACAAGACATCATAACACATCTACAGAAACCAGGACCACGTATTGTAGGACCAGACAGGGAGACGATAGACGCGTGTGCTGTCTCACTCCTGACCCAGTGTGAAGTTCAGTGTTTCCTTTGAGACATGACAGCAACCAGACCGAAACATTATTACAAGACTTTCATGAGCTCATCACCGAGTGGGGAATTTCATCTTAAGATGATGAACTGTGTAAAACGGTACAGACCAGTGCACTTTGTTCAGTAGCTATTACTAACATTAGTTAATCTCGGGATGAAACCATAACAGCTGACTCAATTTGCAAATGCAAATCCAAAATATGCAAATCGATTAAAGTCATTTCCACACATCCAGGAAGCTTATCTACTACCTTACAGGAGTCTTAGTCGGTTCTAGTTCCAACTCAAACACATAAGTCCTACATTTCCCCGACAAATATTTCGATCATTCCAAAAATGGAATGGAGACACTTACAACAGTATTAAACTTTCTAGTTTCAGACCAAACACAGGCAATGCACAAATAACCTGGGGATAAAAGCCACGCGAGAGAAAAAAATAAAAGTACCTTAGCCTCACCCCGAAGAAACCAACACGTTCAGACGGCTATTCAAATGAAACGCGCCAGGTTTACTTTCAATGCTAAGTGTAGGATTCCCAGCAGGATAACGCGAATTGCGTTTCATCTTCAGCCACACACTTCTGCATTAGCCAAACCGTAATGAATTAATTATGAGAATCGTAAGCAGCTGTAAATGCACTGCAGTTAAACTATATGTGATCAAATTTAAATAAGCCGACAAATAGTCCTTTTGGTCTGGGGATTTCAACTAGGAAAAAAAGGAGTTTTAAGCAGGAGCATTCAGCATGCACAAATACCTGTGTAAACACACATGCACTTGCATCTATATAACAATGTCTGCGGCTATATGCGCGTGCATTTAAGGCTGAATATTTCTCTCGCTGTTCGTTTATAGCCGTGCAGACACGCATATTCTGAGAACTGTTATTCACCTGCACTTTCACCACACACCAGTTGTTGATTTCGGGAGTGATTAATGGCTGATACTTCTGGCACTGCTCCGTGCAGCGGTGCTGGCGAGACGAGCGCCGCAGGGCTCCGCCGAATTCCTCGGACCCACTCGCGGCTTCTCACGCTTCACAGAAGATCAACGGCAAAAAAATAAAATAAAAAAAAAATCACAGGTTGGCTCCCTTTGTGACTGCAGAACAGGGGGCATACGTGCACGCCTCGGTGCTGCCGTTGGCCGATTTTCCCCGAGGTTTGTCCGTGAATTTGAATTTCTTAGCGATTCGGGCTCGGTTCGGTTCGGCTCCCCGGATCCGGCCAGCCGGTTTCGTAGATAAGCCGCACTCGAATGAGTGTTTTTTTTTTTTTTGGTACCGCTTACCACAAAAGCTTCAACGCGAGACAGTTTTCCTCTCTTACCTCAGCACTTTCCAAAGGGTGAGAGGGCAGACTCCAATTCAATCCCGAGTCTCAGTCCGGGATAATAAACTTTATCCGCTGGCACCCCACATAGCGCAACATCCCTTCTCCGGGCAAGTTTCCGTGCCTCTGTCGCCCGCTGTTGCCGCTGTATTTCACCGCACGGGTCACACGCCCTACCCGCCCGCCTCCAGCCTGCCCAGTCCCGCCCGGATCCGCTATCCCGGTTTCGGCTGTTTCGCTTTGGGATAAAGTTTATCTCCTTCCCTGCGCCTCTGCCGCCATCTTCCCCCGCGGGGCACGCCGGGTAATCCTCAGGAATCCCCACGCACGGCGCGCGCTGACGCCGGTGTGTGTGTGTGTGTTCTGGGATGCCGGCGGGGAAGCGGAGGCTCTTCTGAGAGTGTACCTGCCGCCGATGCGTAACACGGAGAATCTGCAATTAAAACGATTTCCCGTAATCCTGTGATGTATGTTTTTTTTTTTTTGGGTGCGTGTGTGATGCAGAAAAGATTCGCCTTCCCATCTCCGGATCATGACATGGTCCATTTCGGCTCGCCTATAGATCCTAACAATTCCTTGTCTTGGAAACCAAGACTAGTTAGACCCAAGTTAAGAGTTTTGTTTTCATTGGTCATGCTGTGTCCCGCCCTAGTCACCCTTGTCATTTTCACTGCGTTGGTTTTTATTCTTGGAGGGGGCAGCATGGAGGGGTCACAGTAAATATTGCTGCATTGCTGCACAGCTGTGCTGGGGCCCTGTGGTTAATTCCAGACTGTGTGTCTGTGAGTGTCCTGTGATGGACTGGCCCTGGTGTGAGTGTTTGTGTCTGTGGTTGTCCTGTGATGGACTGGCCCTGGTGTGAGTGTTTGTGTCTGTGTGTGTCCCGTGATGGAGTGGTGTCCTGTCCAGGGTGTTTCCTGACCGTGTAGTGGATGATGCAGTTAGACAACAGGTGGCTCCACTTTCAGCAGGAAGAGACCAGGGTACCTTAAGAATGACAGAATGGTTAAATGAATGTTTTTTAATACCATCAAAATGCCATCTTCAAATGTCTAAATTGTGTTGGTAAGAATCTACAATACAGTGTATCTTTGGGTCACAATTATACCATTCTCCAGATGAAGATATTGATTCCAAGTGTTTATTGGTCATACTGTGACGGTCGTCTGCTTCAGTAGTAGCGATCGCCTGGTCACCAGTGATGAGTAATCTGTTGATCTGTCTGTTTGATTTCATATATGGATTTTTTTCTGGCTCTGGGGTGGTGATCAGGGCTCAAGTGAGCCAGACCTCAGTGAGGTCACACCTGACAACACGGAGAAAGCTCATGAGCTCCTCTGATGACAGTGAGTTCCCAGTTGAGGCCAGTTCACATTGGACACGGACAAAACCCAGTACCTTCCAGGACACAGGCTCTGCCGATTCTCTATTGTTGTAGGATACTTTTTGATTCCAATTTTATCAGACTAAATCACACAGATTCCAGTTCTATAGGCAAGTCAAAGGCAATCTGATCCTACTCTTTCTTGAATCGATTCTATCAGAACCCTTTGTTATCTCTTGGTTTCTCATCTTTACTGTGATCTGTGTTCTTTCAGTATTATATTATCAGTATGGCTCCTTTTCCAGAACATGCTCAGAATTTGGACATTAATTTAGTCTTTGTGTTGTTTGGGTACGTTTTTAGAACTGTAAAGCTTTTTTCTGAGCCTTAATGTTTAACTAACAGAGAAGAAAGGCAGGGCAATACATGTTTGCTAGCATTGCCAACAGCCCCTGTAGTAGTAACTGGGATGCCTCGTTGGAAAAATTAGATGTAGAAGTCAATCAGTGACATTACTTTTCTGTCAGCCATCCCAAACAACTTGTGGATAGTAAATAAAATAACCTATAAAAAAGGCTCCACAAGAGACAATGCAGGGAAACATGAAACATGACATCCAGCAGCACTGAGTGAATTTTGAGCAACAGTTTTCCTTTAAAAATAATTACACAAGATTCAGGCTCTTAATCAAAGTGCTCCAAAGTGGACAGCGTCATGTCAACACTGACCCCGGCTGTGCTGAAGGGTGGGCTGGTTATTTTTCAAATAACCCCAAAAATCACTTTGAATTCCTGCAAACGAGATGTTTCCCTCAGTGTCCAGATCCTGCTGCGAGAGAGAGGTGGGAGGACTCGCAGGGCAGGCCCGTGCTCAGCCTGCTCGTGACGCCTCCAGACGGTGGACCGCCGAGCAGAAGGCCGCTCAGTGTGACGCCCCTCGGGGTCAGCCAGTACAGGAGCTCGCGGTGTCATAGGCAGGCTGCAGGCGGCACACACAGAGCCTGCTTGCGGCTTCCCACTTTAGAACGGAAGACACAGAGGAAAAGGCCACTTTCAACAATTTTCAGCGTCACCTGCTAGAAAAAAAAAACCCGCACCGTAATGAATGTTCTTCATCAAAATAAATCCCGTCCAATCCTCCCAGCTGGAGCGGCTAGTGTTGGGTCTTGGCAATGAGCAACAGAAGCACGTGGGTTAGGATTTTCAATTACGCCCAGCGGGACGGTTTGCAAATCTGCGCCAGGCAGGATTCTTCTTTTTTTTTTTTTCCAATATATACTGGTGTTAAAGCAGGAATTTGACCTTTCCGGTGTTCCTCAAAAGGCAGAGATATTTTGTTAAAAAAGCAAAATTAAACATCCTTAAGAAACGGATTTTCTCCTGCATTTCAGAACTACTATTTCTCAATTTGAATGGGGCACCTGAATGAAGGCCAAAAGTAAACCGTTATAAATAAATTGAATAGCGCCACATATTTCCCCACTTGCGAGGAATATTATACTTTTATTTTAATAACGGTGTTCTAACAGATCAAACAGGCATCCATTTCTTACCCTCTTCATTCCAGCTCAGGATCTTGGGGGAGCCAGAGTCTATCCCAGCAGGCAACAGTCTAAGGCAGGATACACCCAGAACAGACACACAGACACAAGCAGGGACACACTCACACCAGGGACAGTTTTCCTAGAAACCAGTGAACCTACCAGTATGTCTTTGGACTGTAAAAGCAAACCGAAACACTTGGAGGAAACCCATGCAAACATGGGGGAACGTGCAAACTCCACACAGACAGCACCCCAGCTCTGAAATTGAACCCAGAGCCCCAGCCCTTCAAGGCAACAAAGCTAACCATTGGATCACCTTGATTGCCCAGAGCAATCATAATCTAAACAACACATTGCTACTTTTCTGTGATTGGTATCATGTTTTTGGTTCCTAACAGTTCACAGGATATACTGAGAGCACGATGTGTTGGGTAAACAGAGTCTGTGGGTCACAACAGCCTGTGAGAGACACGCTGCTGGTGGACAGTCTCTGAAGAGTTGGCTGACGCCATGTGTTCGCTCTCAGCCCCTCGCTAGGAGCTGAAACACGCTAGCAGCGCACCTGCCGTGACCTCGACATCTATTCAAAACAGCGTTACAGCCAGAGCAGGGAATGGCGACAGCTTTCACTCTCTCTAAAACCGCCGTTTGAACCGTTTGAATGGTTGGCCGTTTTCTTTCCTGGGCAGTCCTGTCACAACAACACTTTGCAGCGGTGTGACAGGAACATTTTGAGGTTTAAGTCAAGTCACACCAGCATTGTCTCGAATTCCTATAAGTCTCCTGCCCAGATCTGTTTCCCGCAGGCCTACAGACAGCCACCAGCTACAGAGTGCATCTTGAAAATGACAAAGGCAGTCACGTCAGTTTCCCAGCAGGAAATACTGAATCCTGCTTCAAGCGCATGCTTGACATGACACTACATGTCAGAGCTGTTTGAGGTCATGTGGATTTAAGAGACTGACATTTTATCAGTGACTACAAAATCTGTTTGCAGTCATAGAGCAAACGTAACCTGCCGTTGAATGTGGGTTTTCAGCCACATCGTTTAAACACATACCAAAAAAGACTTTCACAGCACTCAGCTGTATAACATAGGAACATAATGGATACAAATGAGAAGAAAACCACTTGATCCTTCAAGCCTGTTTGGTAGTTAGTAGCTGACTGATCCCAGCATCAGCATAAGCAAATATTATTATTATTATTATTATTATTATTATTATTATTATTATCTCATCCGGCTGTTTCTTGAAAGTAACCAGGGTATCGTCTGCAGGATCACGGCTGGATACTTTGTTCTGCACTTCCACCACCCTGATAAACTTGTAAATGTAAACGCACACGCCATTAAAATTAGGATATTTTTACTCTACAGACATTTAGCTTTGGCCTAACCGACGTCTAGCTTCTCTGTTTCCAGAACCAGATGCTAATTTTTCTTTCTCTATCGTGTTAAAACAGGTTTTAAAACTAAAAAAAAAAACGTTTTCAACTTAAAAACACTGATCCTAATTATGTTAGAAAGATAGGACACCAAGAAGATGCTGAGAATTCATTAAAGAGTCAGGGCTATTCAAAGTTAGAAGCTACATAAAATAACTATTTTATTTTTGATTTAGTGTTGTAATATCTAGCATGAGCCTCGTTACAATACAAACCCTTATCTCATGCTAATTTGTCAGCTGGGAGTTTTCGAAGAGTATTTTGTGAGCAGAGTTTGTTATGGAAAAAAATAATTTGGGAGCAGCAGGAAAAATAAAATGTTTACGGGTGAAGCTAGCCTTTCAACGTGTAAAAAAAGAAAACTCGCTGAAAGATATAAAGTTATAATATGTTTTTATGTTACGAACCTAAAAACCAAGGCAGCGATTCTCCTCAATACTGATGCTTTATGTACTTTAGTACACGAGTGGGCCACCAGAGGGCGCTAGTCGACACGGAAAGTGTTGTGCTATATTACGCGAATAGAAACTAGAATCCATCCCATAAACTTCAAGGCTTTTCAATAGAGTATATTAACACATTTTACACATTCATCATCTTAATGGAATTGTATATTTCAAATATGAAGATGATGTAGATGTCCATTCCTTTTTTATCTGCTATATCAAAACAATGAAAGAGACCCGTCTTGACAGTAACTGCCAATTTCCTGTGCGAGATGGAATTTACAACTTCGTTTCTAAATATTTTCTTTTTACGTCAGCATAAATCTGACTGTGCCTTTTAGGTGGACTAGATTTTATTAATTTATGACACCTAGTGTTAATTGAAGGTGCTTTTTTCTGTTAATTGTAAAAGAAGCCGACTTGTGATTTACGTATCATACATAACCTGCTGCTAAAATTAAACCCGACAGACATCTCAATGAGAAGTGAGCAAAGATGTGGTAGAATTATATACGTTATGGCCTTCCTCATCTTAAGTAGCAGTAAAGGGAATAAGCTTCTTCTTTACATAATTTTCACATTATGTATAGGGTAAAGAGATCAGATACTGAGAGGTTTTGTAATTAAGAGATCGTTTGCAATTGCGTTTAAATGGAAAATCATGTCGTGTGTTCTCTCAGAGCTCCCATTTCCTCTGTGATGAGCGCTTCACTGCCCTCTGAAATGCGAAATGCTGCGAGTTCAGTGTAAATATTATTATCGCACCCAGAATGGTCTAATTAAGCTCCCTCATCACTTCTTGTTTAGATGACTTCCTAATTGCTCATTAAGAAGCGCTGGGCTGTGCACCGCGACACGGCCCTCTCGGCTGTAATCGCTCGGCCGGAGAGCTGCTGTCTTGCACGTGTGAGCGAGACGAGCGGAGGGCCGCTCCCGCGCGCAGCTCCGCACGAGCACGGCGG